AATCAAACCTGGTTCTCCCAGATTAGAGTCCACACACTTAACCACTACACCAAACTGGCTCTCGATAGGCAGGGTACGACTGCTTAATAAATAAGCACAAGAAGTAAGTAAAAGAATGAAGAGGGAAACTGTTGACATGGTTATAGACTTTGTTTCCAGGATGTTGTAAGAGAAGGAATTTAGCACCATCGCCAGGGTTCATTCGAGTGGAAAGGAATGTCAGGATCCCTTCCTTCCCCATAATTGCCTCCTGCCAACAATAATTTTATTTTACAAAGCACAAAACCACAACACTGTAATGCTTAGTTATATATGCAAAATAATTATCCAATTCCAATATTTCATAAATTAATCATATTCATATAGCCCGTCACGCAATAGAGTGAAAAGTCTCTTGTTAATTTCACAGCAGTTCTTCAAATGTCAGAGCCCTTGTCAATTTCACAATGGGTGGTTTTCTTCAAAGAAGCTCCTGCAGCAATATATTTCTACCTTGCACATCAGAGTGACAAAGCTCTTGTAAATCTCAGGGCAAGTTGTTTTCTTCAATACAGTAACGCAATCCCCTTGTTAATTTTATCTCCGCTTGCCCAATGGGATGTGCTGCCATTGAAAGGGCAATGGGGTTAAACGAGATCAAATTCCGATGGTTTGCTTCTTTCATTCTCTGAACTGAATCGGTGGCCAACACGTCGAGGGAGCTGAGAAGTTAGTCTAACTGGCAGAGAAGTTGATCATGCGCCTATTATGCTTCTCTAATCTCCTGGCCCTGCTCTCCTTCTCCCACTGAAATAGAAGAGGAGGCAAAAAATAGTATCGGATGGCTCGCTTCCAAACGGGGAAAAGGCGTCCAAGATAGCGGCGGCCTCTGCTTCTGCCCCAGATTTCTGAGAACATAAGAACAGAAGAGAAGCCAATGCTGGATTAGGCCAATGGCCCATCCAGTCTAACACTCTGTGTCACACAGTGGCCAGAAATACCAGGTGCCATCAGGAGGTCCAGCAGTGGGGCCAGGACACTAGAAACCCTTTCACTGTTGACACCTCCAAGCACCAAGTATACAGAGCATCCCTTGCCCCAGACCGAGAGTTCCTATCTATAGGTAAAGGTTGCTTGAAAGACAGTCGAATCCGACTCTAGGGTTGCGGTGCTCATCTCCATTTCAAAGCCGAAGAGCCAGCGCTGTCCGAAGACTTCTCCGTGGTCATGTGGCCGGCATGACTAAACACCGAGGCGCACGGAACGCTGTTACCTTCCCACTGAAGTGGTACCTATTTATCTACTTGCAATTTCTTGCTTTTGAACTGGTATCTATACCTTGTGGCTAATAGCCACTGATGGACCTCTGCTCCATATGCCTATCTAATTCCCTTTTGAAGCCGTCCATGCTTGTAGCGCCACCACTTCCTGTGGCAGTGAATTCCATGTGTTAATCACTCTTTGGGTGAAGAAGTATGTCCTTTTATCTGTTCTAACTCAACTGCTCAGCAATTTCATGGAGTGCCCACAAGGAGTTCTTGTATTGTGAGAAAGGGAGAAAAGTACCTCTTTCTCTACCTGCTCTATCCCATGCATAATCTTGTAAACCTCGGTCATGTCTCCCCTCAGCTGTTGTTTCTCCAAGCTAAAGAGCCCCAAGTGCTTTAACCTTTCTTCATAGGGAAAGTGTTCCAACCCTTTCTATCATTTGAGTTGCCCTTTTCTACACTTTTTCCAATGCTATAATATCCTTTTTGAGGGTTACCCATTTCCCATACAGTCAGAAGTCCCATACTTCTTGACACAGCACACAGTTAAATTGTGGAGCTTGCTGCTATGGGATGTGATTATGGCCAACAATTTACCAGTCTGGTGTCATGGTTAGGAGTGCAGACTCTAATCTGGAAGAACCAAGTTTGATTTCCCGCTCCTCCACATGCAGCTGCTAGCATAACCTTGGGTCAGTCACAGTTCTCTCAGAGCTGTTGTCTCACAAGCAGTCCTTGAAAGAGCTCTCTCAGGCCCACCTACCTCACAGGGTGTCTGTTGTGGGGAGGGGAAGGGAAAGGAGATTTGAAGCTGCTCTGAGAATTCTTCGGGTAGTGAAGGACGGGGTATAAATCCAATCTTTTCTTCTAAAAGGGGAGTGGACAAAGTTCACAGAGGATGGGGCTATCAGTGGCTACCAGTCATGATGGATATCTACTTCCTCCAATACCAGAGGCAGTGTGTCTCTTTATATCATCAGTTGCTCAGGAGCATGTGCAGGGCGATGCTATCGCAGTCATCTTGCTTCTGGGCTTTCTGGAGGGAGCCTGGTTGGCCACTGTGTGAACAGAATGCTGGACCGGATGGGCCCATGGTCTGATCCAGCATGGTTCTCCTTCTGTTCTTAGGGAGGCTTGCTGGTCTAGGATTGGGGAGGGCTGGGTTCAAACCCCAGGGAAGCTTGCTGGGTAGGTTTGCCAAATCCAGGTTTGGAAATGCCTGGAGATGTGAGGGTGGACCCAGGAAGAGTCGGGTATAGGGAGGGCATGGAGATTGGTAAGGTGTAATGCCATGCAGCCCACCTTCTAAAGCAGCCCTTTTCTCTAGGAGGAATGGAAGAAATGTTTTGAATCCAAAGAATAAAGACGTGATTTATGTAGTCTAGAGATCAGTTGTAATTCTGGGAGAACTCCAGCCCCCAGCTGGATGTGAGAATTCTTTGGCCAATATTTAAGAGTTGGAAGGCTGTTGCCTCTACTGGAGAGAAAAGGCAAATAGACAAATGGGTACCTGTTCTTAGAGTGGGGAGGCACCCGTCCCTTGTGGTGTAGCGGCGGCGTGAGTGGTGAAGCGGCGGTGGCGAAGAAACATGGCGGCTGGCAAGGCAAAAGCGAGTGAGAGGAGGCTGGACTGACAAACGCGGAGGCGGGGTGACGCAGCTGGCCGGAGCCTACTGGACAGAGGCCGGCAGCGAGCATGCGTGGACGTGCGCTCGGTCCAAGCCCGAAGGAGTCGCAACAGCCAGGAAGTCGCAAAAAACAACCAAAGACCAGCGCCAGAGAGGACGTCATCGAACCAGGAAAAACACACGATCTCCCGCAGACAACAACAACCCGCTACAAGGGTGCCTGGTAGGCTAGTCACTCTCCCCCTTGTATGTATGTGGCTCTAGATAAGGATTGGCAGTAACAGAATATGTAAACCGCTCAGAGCCCTCAGGGGGTGAGCGGTATATAAACTGAAGAAAATAAATAAATAAAATACAGACTGGTGATTCTTCGCAGTGACGTTGCAGGCACGGATTCCAGACTGGGGGAATGATATGAGAATATACTGAATACATCACTGAATATTTCAGCTCTGAAGAAATCTATGTGTGAAACGGGCAGAAATCTAGATGCTTGTTGGCCGGATTGGTACAACAGTATTTGACTATTTCTATGAGGAAGGCCAGATTGGTTGGACTGGTTTTTTTTTTTAATATTCTCTACGTTGAAGTGAATTTGTCCACAGGAATCCTGCATGGTCCTACAATTATTGTACCTGGTCTCAATATAATCTGCATACATACAACCCGTGGGTACTCCGTTTATAGTTTGTGTGTAAATGAGACATGAGTATATTATTTTGAGATCTTGAGACGTTCAATGAGACAATTGGTCATCTGTTCGAGGTGTTTTTGTTTTTTTAATTTTTTTATTTTCCAAAACTACAAGAAAAAACAGGATGGGGGAACTACAAACTATGGGAGGGAGTAAAGCAAAAGCCACTAAAAACCACTAAAAACCCAAATCCAGATAATCTGACTTAATAAGGTTCAACACAAAAGACAACTGTAAAAATAAAAGCAAACTTCAGAGAAAATCAGCATCTCATTTCTCGTATCTTCTTTCCCTCAATCGATAGACTTGCTTGGGGGCAGCTGCCCCACGTTCCGAGTCTGAGCCTTCTCCAGTAGGTGCTTCATCATAACTTCCCTTGTCCTCATCGTCTTCTCTCACTGGTCCCAGTTGTTGCCGCAAGAACTCTCGTGCTTTCATAACAGAGTCAATTTTTTTCCTTCTTGTCAAATTTGAAGACTAATCTTTCAGGTACAGGTTTTGTAAAAACAATGCCAAGTCTCTGTATTTATTCCTCTTTTCCCTTATTTCAAAGGGAATGTCTTTTAGAACTCTTATCTTGTTGCCGTCGATTTTAAGGATACTTCCACTTGTTGCCTTTAGGATCTGGTCCCTCACTTGTCTTCTGGAGAATCTCACCACCACCTCCCCGGGCAGATTGTTTTTCTTTATATATTGTGAATATGACCTGTAGATCACATCCATCTCACTTAAAAGGAAATCCACTTTTAAATCTGCAACCGGTCCCAAGGCGTCAGCCATAATCTGCTTGAGATTCTCCCCTTTGTTCTCAGGAACCCCCTGAAACCTCAGGGTAAAGCTTGCCTTTTCCATTGGAAGTTGTAATAATTGTGCTTCATCAGAGTTTCTCTTATTTTCCATCTCTTGCATTTGTTTTTTAAGCTTCTTAGTAGTGGCGTCCACTTTTTAAATTTTTATTTAATTATATAATATTACACTTTAAAATAGCAACAGCGATGACATAATATATATGACAACAAGAGAAAAAGGGGCACAACAACCATATCATTTACAATACTATTCAAATATATAAACAATTTTGAAAAACTGAGAACCGTTAACTTCTGTGAAAATACAGTCTATTAAGCAAAATCCTTTTGTAGCCTCAACAAAATAGGAGGAGCTTATATTTGGCAGCTTTAATAGCCTCCCATTCAAAACATTCTAAATCTATCTTTTCTACTAAAGGAAACCAAATACTTAACGGATTGCGAAAAAGTTGTTCATTGTGTTTGGAATCCCTATAAACAGAAAAAACGTCTAACATAAACAAATCCCAGATTTTATGAACCCATTGTGCTACCGTAGGAATTGCTTTTTCTTTCCAGGATCTGGCTATAAGAATTTTTGCCACAGTAAGCAACATTCCTATTAATTTTCTCCTTTTTATAGACGGACCATTTTCGGGCCAAAGACGTAAGAGAACAATCATAGGATCTAAAGGTAAGTCATAGTTGGTTAATTTGCATATACATTGTACTATCTGAGTCCAAAATCCTTGAATTAGTTTACAAGACCACCAATTATGTATATATGTAGCACGTTACCCGCATTTTTTCCAACAAAAAGGGGTTAAACCTGGAATTATATGAGCTAGTTTGACGGGAGTCATATACCATCTCAATGTAACTTTTAAGTTAGCCTCTAGAGCATATAATGACTTGGACATCGAATTATGGGCCTGCCATATGTCCTCCCATTGATCTTCTGTAATCACACAGTTTAAATCCGTTGCCCACGCTTTTTGATAAGTTAACACATCTAATTTTCGACCTATCAATAGAATTTTATAAATTTTGGATATTAGCCAACGTTTTGATAAGGTTTAAATAATAGTTGTTCAAAGTCATTGAGAGGTTTTTGTATTGAAGATTGAAATGCGGAATTTTCTATAATTTTCTATAAAGTGTCTGACTGTATCCTGACTGCCTCGCCCCTGCCTAGCCCCGCATCGTGACACCCTCCGCCCCTCCCCTGTTTCCGCCTCTCTCTCTTTAGATGGACGCCCTCTCCCTGTTCTGTTTTCTTTCCCTCCTTCTCCAAAGACAAAAGAGGATGTGTCCTGCCGCTCAGGCAAACTTTAAAAAAGCCAGAGAGAGCATAAGAAGTAATAAGTAAATATAAAGGACTAGGGGATTCCCCCTCTTCTTTAAAAGGCCTCAACTTCCAGAGCCGTTGGACCTCCCCCGGTGTCCGGTGCAGGGAAGCACGCATGCGTGGGAGGCGTCCTCTGAGTCCAGAGTATTAACTGGAGCCAGGACTCTGTAATCAGCCGGCAATTAGGAACACAGGGAATGGGGTTTAAAGGAAGCTCTCTTCACTACCTACCTCGTGCTGGCAACTGATCACATGATTGAATCGCTGCACCTCGGACCTTGCATCTTGTTTCCTGACTTTCTGCTTGACTCCCTCGGCTTTTTGACTCTGGACTGCGTGACATCGTTCTTCTGGCTCCCTGACCTTGGAATGTGTAACCTGACTCTGAACAACGGCTTTCGGCTTTACAACTCGGACTGCCAATCTCTGGTAAAGCTTAGACTGTGCAAGTGACCTAATATTTTGGATTACGCTTTTGTTTCTCTGCCTATCTGGTGCTCTGACCTCAGCCTGTGTTTTTGGATACTCTGTGCCTTGCCTAGCCCGCCCTGCCAGGGCAATTGTGACACCCGCCTTGGGACGCCACAGCCATGGGAGGGGCTGCGCCCGGAGCCCAGGGTGGGCTTGACACTTACCTGCTAGTAGCCCACCACATGGTATCCTTCAACTGGCCATCATTCTTCTCTTGACGAGGGTGTCCAAGAAAGGTCTTTTTGCTTTCCCATCCAGTAGCGTCACAGGGTTTTCAAGGTAAGAGATGTATCAGGGGTCCTTTGCCACTGCCTGCCTCTGCATAGCGACCATGGTGGTGTTCCTTGCTGGGCTGCCATCCAAGTCCTAACCAGGGCTGACCCTGCTTAGCTTCTGAAAACGGAGGAGATCCGAGTAGCCAGAGCCATCCAAGCCTGTCCCAGAAGGGCCCAGCTCTTTTATAAATCTCTGTTAGGGCTGCCATCTTAAACAATTTTACACAGCTTCCTAAAACAAACACTGGCCCCGTTCACACACCGAATTTGCCATGGGAGAGCCACGAATGCTGGGCGAATTTTTAGGGCGCGATCACACCGCAACATCTGGCAAGCGTAGCGCACCCGTGGCCAACCTGTGTCATGCCGCCGAAGCTGCGCAGTTAAAAAGTATCTCAACAAATGTACTAACAAATGGATTGCCACAGGCTGTCGACGGAAGCATTCCCTGTGATCATGCCGGCACGCGGCTTCCCCCCGGCTGTCCTACTTGACGCGCACGCGCTGATGGATAAAATTGTGGTGTGCCGCCATCGCGTCTGATTGCGTTCTGGTGGGTCTAATTGCGTCGGCGCAAAGAGCCACGCCTCCCCTCGGCATTATCTGCCCCGTGTGACCGGGGCCTCCAATCCACTAACAATTTAAAGGTAAAGGTTCCCTTGCTCGAAAGCCAGTCGAATCCAACTCTAGGGTTGCGGTGCTCATCTCCGTTTCAAAGCCGAAGAGCCAGCACTGTCCGAAGACGTTTCCGTGGTCATGTGGCCGGCATGACTAAACACCAAGGCGCACGGAACGCTGTTACCTTCCCACCAAAGTGGTACCTATTTATCTACTTGCAGTTTCTTGCTTTCGAACTGCTAGGTTGGTAGGAGCTGGAACTAGAGACGGGAGCTCACTCCGTCATGCGGCACCTGGGTCTCGAACTGCTGAACTACTGATCTTCCACAGCCTGCAGTTCAGCATCTTAACCACTTGAGCCACAATTTACACTCCCTTAAAAAAAGGGTTTAGTATTCACGACAGTTTTCAAAAAAAAGCTTGTCATCTGAAGGAGCACACACCCTGTCAGCAGCCAGTAGGGGGAAATGTTTTTCTGAGTAAACGGATACAGCATCAAGATTTGTGCAGGGGTGTGCCGTTGTGTGTAACAAGCATCCCCCCCCGACACTGGGAAATATTGCAGATGGAGGGTAATGTGGATCTCTTCCTCCCTCCCCAAGCAGAGACGGGTGTCGGTTCTATGATTTCACAAAATGTCAGCCATGCTGAGTGCACAAATGTTAAAACAGGAGATGCAGACGCACATTGCGGAGAGGGACATTCAGGGTCCCCGGGGGTCCCCCAAAAAGGATTTGTGATCCCAGCGAAAAAGGACCTGGACGCAGCCAGTGTGCTGCAGTGGCCAAGAGTCTGACTCCAGCTCGAATCAGGACACAGAGTGAGACGACTCAGCTCTTTTATGGCCTCGGATCCCCTCACCTGTAAATATGGGGATGATGATTGACAGTGGCCTACCTCATAGGGCAAGGGTATTTTGTGTGAATTGCTTTGGATGCTCTAAAGCAGGGGTCATTTCATAGAAAAAGTGGTGCAGGAGCTCATTAGCATAACTTATTTGCATATGCCACACCCCCTGACATCACCGGAAGTGTGTCAGAAGGCAACCCCCACCGCTCAGGCTCCACTGGACTGTTTTGGATTGCTAGCTATTGGGGGGGGGGGAACGTGCAGATCTGTCCTCACAGAGGAGGGAGAGCTTGTACCTGAATAAAACTTGGTCTTAAAGGTGCCACTGGAGTGTTTTGGACTGGGGGGCTGGAGGGGGGCTCTGCAACTTATCTGGCTGCTTCTTGCTCTGACTGAGGGCTGCTGGGAGCAGGGGGTGGGACTTGTTGCATGTGCCCGCCCCCTGGGGTCTTTACTGCCGGAGCTCCACTCCTGTGTGCTCCTGCAGGAAATGACCCCTGCTCTAATGAGATTAAGTCCTTTTCTTGGTATTATGGTCTTGTGTACTGGGAGTCCACCAACTTCACATAAAAAGAGCATGTGCTACTAGCTATCCCCCATATATGTACGGTCACCATGTTCTGTGAAGGGGGACAACATTTGTATTTACCATGCACGTACAGTTTCAGCTATGAACCAACTACTGGAGAGCCAGTTCGGTGTAGTGGTTAAATGCATGGACTCTAATCTGAGAGAACCGGGTTTGATTCCCCACTCCTCCACAAGCAGCTGCTGGTGTGACCTTGGGTCAGCTACAAGTTCTTTCAGAGCTGTTCTCTCAAAGGCAGTCCTTGAGAGAGCTCTCTCAGCTCCACCTACCTCACGGGGTATCTGTAGTGGGGAGGGGAAGGGAAAGGAGATTGTAAGCCTGAGACTCCTTCAGGTAGTAAAGGGTGGGGTATGACTCCAATCTCCTCCTCCTCCTCTTCTTCTTTTCACAGTTTGTGTTCACACATAGCAAGGCTGTACATACATAATAAATACATGTACTGTGTTCACACAACAGAGCAACTGGACATATTGGAAGGGTTGTGGGTAGCATTCTCTCCCATATATATATATGAGAGTTAAAGTTAAAATGTTAAAGTTAAAATGACTGAACTGAGGCTATTGTACTTTGGTCACACTATGAGAAGACAAGAATTACTGGAAAAGACAATAATGTTAAGAAAATTTGAATGCAACCAGTGTTCCCTCTACGCTGTACGCCTCCAGGCTAGCCTGATCTCATCAGATCTCGGAAGCTAAGCAGGGTTGGCCTTGGCTAGTATTTGGAAGGGCGACCTCCAAGGAATACCAGAGGTCTGGTGCAGAGGCAGGCAGTGGAAAACCACCTCTGAAATGTCTCTTGTCTTAAAAAACAGGTCTAGCTTGACCACCTAGTGGTGCTAGTAGAGGCCCAGTTTGGTGCAGTGGTTAGGAGCGCGGACTCTAATCTGGGAGAACCAGGTTTGATTCCCTACTCCTCCACATGCCGCTGCTGGAGTGACTTTGGGTCAGTCACAAGTTCTCTGAGAGCTCTCTCAGCCCCACCTACCTCACAGGGTGTCTGTTGTGGGGAGAGGATGGGAAAGGAGCTTGTAAGCCGCTCTGAGACTCCAAGTGAAGGGCGGGGTATAAATCCAATCTCCTCCTCCTCCTCCTCAAGAGCTAGAACTACTGGCTGCCAGACAATCTTAGGATCTCCTGGCTATTCTACACACTCTGCCATATGATCATTATTGGCCCCGGTCACACAGGCCAGATATCGCGGAGGGAGGCGTGGCTGTTTGTCCTGGAGTGAACTACCGCGCGGCAGCGGGATCAAACGTCCCGCCGACGTCCCGTGGTTGGGGGAGGAGGTGCCGGGGAGGTCACTCCTGCGGCGCGGCAAAGAAGCGGATCGGCGGGGTTTTTTTTACCCAAGTGTTCACATGCTCCATTTGGTGCTTGTGCACATTCCCTGGAGACTTTTGAAAAAAAAAAAAAAATGCCACCGGAAACGTGATCAGACGCCCGCCCTTGCCCCGCAATTTCCGGAAACTAGTACATCGGAGGTACTAGTTTTTTACCCCGCATCTTCGGCGGGAAGCCTCGGGTGAGCCACGGGAGCTT